GAGAGAGGCAGAGACTGAGAGATACAGCTAGCGTCGCCCAGGCGGCAAAGATGCTTTGTGTTGCTTGCATGTGCTGGCTACAGCATAACGATTTCAGTTGTTTTGTTGGTGGGGGGGGGGGTGCTTTTGGTTTTGACTACTGGAAGTGGGTCCTCATCCCGAGGAGGAGAGGACCAATCAACAACATTTTTTTTCAAACGGGGCACTGATGCCTTATGGTTCATGTGCTGGCTAAACAAGAATATTGTTTGTTGGTTTTGTTTTGTTGTGTGTGTGGGTGCGTGTGTGTGTGTGTGTGTGTGTGTGTGGGGCGATGTGTGGTTGTTTCTTTTTGTAAGGGCATCCGTACTCCGAGGAGGAGAAGATCGGTCAGCAGCACTTGTGCGTTTTCAGCGTTTTTTGTTTTTTGTTTGCGGCGTCTTTTTTGTCACACTGCCACACCATTCGCGATGTTTGCGGTGGTTATGTGGGTTCGCGGTGCGTGACATCTGTAAGTTTCCTTCTGACGTTCCACATTTGCGTTTGCAGCGTCGTGTTTTTATAATTTCCGCCCAAAGGTTTACTGCGTTCCGCATTTGCGTTTATACCCCCCAGGTTTGGTTCCCCCTCTCCTCCTGCGTCCGTTGCCTCCTGCCCCCCCCCCGCGCGCAACTGTCGCCGCTTCTATGGGAGGTCCAGCGGAGCGGCGTCATACGCGCACCCAGCCTGGGCTCCGGACTAGACCCCGCGGCCTTATGGGGGTGCTACCACTTGCGCAAGTGGAAAGCCTCTTTCGTGGGCTCCTGTGGGGTCCAGCGGAGTGGCGTCATACGCGAACTGAGACAAGACCTCACGGTTCCCTGGGGGTGCTCTCATCTGCGCAGTTGTCGCTTTTCAAGCTCCTGGGGGACCCAGTGGAAGGCGTTACACGCGCAACCAGAGTAGACCTCGCAGCTCATTGGGGGTGCTGGCGCCTGCGCAACTGTCGTCACGCTCGTGGGCCCCTGTGGGGTCCAGCGGAGTGGCGTCATACTTGCACCCAGAATGGACCGCGCGGCTTGCTCCATGAAGGCGCACCAGTCGCCACTTTCGTGGGCTCCCGGGCGGGGGGGATCCAGCGGAGTGGCGCTTACGTGTGCCCAGACAAGACCTCGCGGCTCACCGTGGATTCAGCCACCTGCGCAACTGTCGTCACGCTCGTGGGCTCCTGTGAGGCGTCACGCGCGCACCCAGACTAGGCCTCACGACTCCTTATGGGTGCAGCCGCTTGCGCAGTTGTTGCCATTATAGTGGGCTCCGAGCGGTGCTATCCAAAGCTGGCAGCTGTCGTCATTTTTGGGCTCCTCGGACCCCCAGATGGAGGAAGTCTCGAGCAGGGGCCTTGTATGTGAGTGACTGGCGAGGAAGTCCCAAGTGGGAACCCCTCCCTATGGGGTCCCGACCTCCATGTTCGAATCCGAGCTGGGCCATCCAATGCTGGTAACTATCATCACTTTTGGGCACCTCAGGCCTGAATCTGGAGGAAGTCTCGAGCGAGAGCGTGGGGAGGGGTGAGAGAGGTGGATTGGGGGGAAGAGGTAGGCGTCGAGGAGGAGACAGAGCAGGAGGCGGTAAGAGGGCCTCCGCAAGGGCGAACATCAGAAGGGGTTTGAGAAGATAGGGAGAGAGTCTCTGCACGCACAACGACGACGATGAGGTTGACTTCCAGATTAGTTTGGGAGATTCTCACGTGGATTCCTATCGTCGGAGTATTTGTTCCCAACCATCCTGTGGTGTTGGGTCCTCGTTTTGAACAGACGGTCCCCGCGTTCCTCCTCCCTCCCTCCTCCCTCCCCCTCCACCCCCTGCCCCCCCTTCTCCCTCCTCCCTGCGTTTCACCCACCCTGTACAGCGCTTCGTGGCCCCATAGGGAGCTCCACCGAAGCCCCCAGTGGGACCGTCTGCATGCGTCCCAGAAACCCAGTTTGGCATTTTCGCCCACCCAGTACAGCGTTTCGTGGCCCCATAGGGAGCTCCACCGAAGCCCCCAGTGGGACCTTCTGCATGCGTCCCAGAAGCCCAATTTGGCATTTTCACCCACCCAGTACAGCGTTTCGTGGCCCCATAGGGAGGGAGCTCCACCGAAGCCCCCAGTGGGACCGTCTGCATGCGTCCTGGAAGCCCAATTTGGCATTTCCACCCACCCAGTACAGCGTTTCGTGGTTCCATCGGGAGCTCCACCGAAGACCCCAGTGGGACCGTCTGCATGCGTCCTGGAAGCCCAATTTGGCATTTCCACCCACCCAGTACAGCGTTTCGTGGTTCCATCGGGAGCTCCACCGAAGACCCCAGTGGGACCGTCTGCATGCGTCCCGGAAGCTCAATTTGGCATTTTCACAAACCCAGTACAGCGTTTCGTGGCCCCATAGGGAGCTCCACGGAAGCCTCCAGTGGGACCGTCTGCATGCGTCCCGGAAACCTAATTTGGCATTTTCACAAACCCAGTACAGCGTTTCGTGGCCCCATAGGGAGCTCCACGGATCCCTCCAGTAGGACCGTTTGCATGCGTCCCGGAAACCTGATTTGGCATTTCCACTCCCCAGTGCAGCGTTTCGTGGCCCCATAGGGAGCTCCACCGAAGCCCCCAGTGGGACCGTCTGCATGCGTCCCGGAAACCCAACGTGGCATTTCCACCGGGTACAGCGTTTCGTGGCCCCATAAGGAGCTCCACCGAAGTCCCCAGTTGGACCGCACGCATGCGTCCCGGAAACCCAATTTGGCATTTTCACCCATCCAGTACAGCGCTTCGTGGCCTCATAGGGAGCTTCACCGAAGCCCACAGTGGGACCGTCCGCATGCGTCCTGGAAGCCCAATTTGGCATTTCCACCCACCCAGTACAGCGTTTTGTGGCCACATAAGGAGCTCCACCGAAGCCCCCAGTGGGACCGTCTGTATGCGTCCCGGAAACATAATTTGGCATTTTCACCCGCCCAGTACAACGTTTCGTGGCCCCATAATGAGCTCCACCGGAGCCCCCAGTGGGACCGTCCGCGTGCGTCCCCCACACTCAATTTAGCACACCCCTCACACGCTTCGTGGCCCCATAGGGAGCTCCACTGAAGGCCCCAGTGCCGCAGCCCGCATGCGTCCCCCACATCCATCTCGGCACACCCCTCACACGTTTCGTGGCCCCATCGGGAGCTCCACCGACGGCCCCAGTGCTACCGCCCGCATACGTCTCCCCCACCCAGTACAGCGTTTCGTGGCCCCATAGGGAGCTCCACCGACGGCCCCAGTGCCACCGCCCGCGTGCGTTCCCCCCCACCCAGTGCAGCGCTTCGTGGCCCCATAGGAAGCTTCACCGAAGAAGATATTCGAAATTGCGGTATCCACAACTTCATAGGGTTGGGTCCTTCGCCAGGGTTTTGTTTGTTTATTATTTTGGTGGCAGTGCCATCCGTACATGTAGCATCGTTGCTCCTGCTCTTGCTCCGTCCTTTCCTGCTCCTGCTCCTCCTCTCTCCTCTTCGCTCCTAGCCGTGAGGGCGGGAGTTTTCGTGCCCTTGGGGCCCTCCCTGGGCCCTGGGGGCGTCCAAAGACGTTCTGGGGTGACATTCTGGTCCTGGCGGACGCCCCGGGGTCCAGGATCCGTTTCCTCTCACGTTCCCTGCTCGCTCCTCGTCCATTCCTTCGCGCTTCGGTCTGCTCGAGAGGCTTCTCCCAGCTGCTTCTTTTTGCTCTGGCTCGGGCTGGGGCGTAGTTAACTACGCACACACAACACACGACTCACAACACGCAACACATAACACACAGCACACATCACACAACACACAGCACACATCACACAACACGTGGCGCACAACACATACACAACAGACAACACATAGCACGAGACGCAACACACGGCACACCACACGGCATACCACACACAACAAAACACAACACACACACACACAACACACACAAAACACAACACACACAAACACCCAAAACACAGCACGCAACATTGACACACACACACACACAAACGCACCGATCCTTGCCGGACCAATCCTGGGCCCAGGATCGGTGTGCGGGCCTCCCTGACCGAGCCAGGAGGGGGTATGCACCGATGCTGGGCCCAGGAAGGGTCTGCGCCGGGAGCGGTGCACGTGCACAGGTCTCCGTCTGCCCAGGCCACACACCAGGCCCAGGCCATTCCACCAGTTGCCCCGCGTCGAGCAACCACATTAGCAGGGTATAGGGTTCGGATTCCCAGGTCCCCCAGGTGAAGAAGCGCTGCATGGGATTTTCGGTCTCGAAGGCTCCAAGGTCCAGGAGATGGTTTGTAGGGACAGAGGCTCTCGCCATTCAAGGTCTCCGGTTTTCGAAGGACTGCCGTGGCCACGGTGTTATCACATTCTCAGGTCTCCAAGGTTAAGAAATCTTGGTTGCATTTTCGGGCGCTGACCTTCCTGGGTCTCGCAGATTCAGACATTGTTGCAGCGGCGCAGGGTTCCCATCACCTCAGGGTTGCGCACGATTCCAGGTCTAGAATGTGTTGCAAGAGCATCATAGTGGTGAACACAAAACATCGGTCTAGGCAGCGTTTGTCGAGTCTGCGTATTGTCAGGCATTCCCTCGCCTTCTTCTCCACATGGATGTGCTCGGTCAGGGTAGTTCCCTTTGTGTGTGCTCTTGGGTCCAGGGTGCTCTTTGTATCACTGAACTCCTGGCCGACAACGCTGGCGGTGACGGACCCAAACCACCTCATGCTCAGTCATTTGTGCACCCATTGATGCGCTGCTTTACCGATCCTGCATGTTCCGTTCTTTGTATTTTCCTGGATACTCGTTCCTACCTGCTCTTCCTTGTTTATGTTCCATCCCACAAATTCTTGCAGCACTTCGCTTCGGTGTCCTCCTTGATGGATGCAGCTGGATTCGGCCTGAATCTCCCGCTGCAGCGTCCCTTCTTGCAGGGTTACAGCCTTTTTTTCAAATGCAGCAGCGCCAACACCGAAGCGAAGAAGTGTCAGGCCCATGCTTCCTCCCCCGACGAGGACTCCGACGGGGACCATGTGCCAGATTCTGAAGATCCAGCCCCTTGCGACCCATCTTGTCCACCAAGGCCGTGCGATTCCCTTCCTTGCCCTGGGGACTGCGTCCAGGAGCGAGCGCCGCTCTGGGTAGCTCCGACATGTGATCAGGACCAAGGCGACGCGGATGTCGATGGCCTTGCTCAGGATGATGACGATGACGACGATGATGATTATGATGATGTTGCTGCTCCTGATGACGACGATGGCGATGATTGGGATTCTGATTCTGATGATGATGAAGACGGCGATGACGATGGTGGTTGTGGTGATGGCGAGGGCGACGATGACGATAACGACGACGACGATGATTGTTCATGTAGCAAACGCACCAGCAGGTGGCCTTGTTCTCAGAGGGAAGCGTTGAGTCACTAGGCACGAGTTGTTGGCACTGTCTCCGAGCTTCCAATGATGTTTCGAATGGTTCGGGTCTGGGCCGACAAGGGGCCCACCTCCTCCTCCTCCTCCTCCTCGTCTCCTCGTCGTCCTCCTGTCCCTTTTGCTCTGGGTCCCAAACAGTGCTTGCCACAAGGGGCTTTGCTTGTCTTTCCACGTGCGGCTCAGGGCCTTCGCCCTGTCGCCGCCCGTGGCTGCCCCATCGCCGCCTGGGTGGAGCCTCGTGCGCTGGCTGGCGGCTTCGGGCTTGCGCCCGCTGGTTGCCCGTCACTGCCTCGTCGCCGCCTCGCGGCCGCCCGCCGCCGCCCTGTCGCTGCGCCGTCGGTCGCGGACGCCCTCCGCCCCGTGGGCCCCTCGCGGTCGCTCCGTGGTCACCCGTCGCCTCTGCGCGGCCGCCTCGTGGGCGCCCGAGGCGCCTGCAGCACAGCTTACGCCACGTGGATGACCCCTGGGGCTCCTGAGCGCAGTCGACGCGTGCGAAGTGGACACCAAGCGTGCTCACCCGACACGCCAATAGCGTGCCGCGGCGATGTGTGACTTGCGATGTGGACACCAAACGTGCTAACCCGACGCGCCAAAAGCGTGCCGCGGCGACGTGTGTCCGAAGCTGCCTGGACCGGGGATGTCGAAAGTCTGCCCATCGCCACCTGGAAGTGCCCGCGCGCCAGCATGACCTTTGAGGCGCGCTGGGAAGTTCCCATCGGCAAGCGTCATCGGGGCCGCTTCAGTTGTGCCAGGCCAGCTGGTCGCTCCGCGCGCGAGCTTGCGCGCGCCAGCGCGGCCGCTAAGATTCGGCTACACGTAAGAGTGGCCCTTGGCCAGAGTGACCTTTAGTGTTGGGCCTAAGGGGTCCGACAGATTTTCTTGAGGAGTGCGCTCGGCCTCGTGTCGGCGCACGCTGCACCAGTCTGCGATCGCATCAGAGCGCGCTTGATTCAGGGTGCGCCCCTCGCAATTCATCGCAACGCACGCACGGTGTATTCTGCCGCGTGCTTCGTTTTGCGAGGGGGGGGGCCAGTCGAGCGGGCGACGTGCTCTCCGCCTTGGGACCGGTCCCAAAGCGTCCTGGAATACCTTTGACTAACTTTGACTAAGTTTGATTAACTTTGAATAACTTTTCGCATTCCGCGCTTTACAACTCAATTCTTTACTATTGAAAGTTATTTGCGGCCGCGGGGGGGCCAAGTTTCGGCCCGTTTTCGGCCTTGACGCCGGACCCGGTCAGACGTCATCGCGATGCGGCCCGGCAGTGCCAGAACAATTCGCGGTTGCGCCCGATACCGTCTGGTTTCGCAGAGCCCTCGGGCGGGTGTTCAGGGGCGCCCGGAACGAATTGGCGGAAGTCCGCAATTGCCTGCTGGCGCTGGGGATCTATCGAAGCGCGCCCCGCCGGTCGTTGATGTAATCCGACGGCCTCGGCTTGCGCGGTTGCTCCAGGCCCCCGCGGGCCCCCCTAAGGCCGCGCACCAAAGGGCACTCTTGCCTAGGGTCACTCTTACGTGTCGCCGAAAGATGCGGGAGCCAGCGCCAAGCAGTCACAGCAATCGCGGCCGCATGGGTTTTGTACAGCGAGTTGCTGTGAGAGGATTGGATGTTTGCGCGAGCAGTGGAGCTGACAGCTCTTCAGTTGCGTTAGTTCATGGCCCCGCAGCTTGCACCACAGATTTTTCGCCGCAGACCCTGCGCCACCTCGCTTGCGCAACATAGCTTGCGCCACGCTACTTGCGCATCCACAGTGCATATCTCACCGTCTGGGGCACGCGCCGGCAAGCATTGAATTCGGAAGTGAAGGGCAGGGCAGCTTCAGTAGCGCATGACGTCAGAGGCTGGGGCAGTGATCTATCATATTGCTTGGCTCACTCCGCCGGGCTACTTCGCATCACGGTGGCTGCATGGTGGTGTGCTCCTACCGGTGGGGAGCGGTGGGGCAGGCAGGATTGTCCTCGAAGAGATTTTGAAGATGTGGCTTGCACCCTGCCGAAGAGAGCAGATAGACTGCCCCAGAGGGCGCCAAGATGATTCGTCCGCGGAGCCCCAGGGGCCGCCACGCGCCCGCGAATCAGAGACA